TCTCCTTCTTTCCAATTAATATCTGATTTTAAAAAATATTTTAGGTAGAGTAAAAAAAGTTCCCAAGAAAGCTAAAACTGTCCTTTAAGGGTTTAAATATTTAAAACTTATTTTAAATGTAGACTTCTATTAGAGAACACTGGGAAATTACTAATAGTCTCACCATCTAAATAAATTTACTAACATCGTAGAGTATTGCTAGTCTTTTTTTTTATGCTCAATGAACTAAATTGAAATAGTTTTCTGTATTTTTACACTTATAACCTCAAATTTTTAATTATAAGTAATGTAAATATGTGAGAAGAACCCTTTGGTTCTATTGTTTATTTTCCCTCATGTATTTGGAGAAAAAAATACTTGTGCTTTTAAAGTTGCGGGGTTTTACTTCCGACAATGGTGAATGTTTCATGTGGTTCAGAATAAAATATACCTAAGGCTTAATATCAATTTTTGTCAACTTTGAATTTTTAGTAGAGCTTAACTAGGACAACATGGTCCAGTAATTCATCTGTAGGTAAAGTATATGTGCAAAATCTTCTCTATCAATCACTACCGAGTGTTTAATTTATCCTGGCTCTACCACTCACTCTTTGTTTGATTTTGGAGAAGTCATTTTACCTTTCCGTGCCTCAGCTTCCTCATCTTTGAAATGAGGATAATTTTATTTCAGACACCTCAGAAATTATTACTTACATGGTTACTGCTGTTGCTGACAGTAGTCAAGTAGAGGAAAAATGTGAATCTACTTTTCAGTGTAATAAGATTCAGATATACTCTGAGTATTACATTTTTAAATACTTTGTTAAAAATAGATTAAGGTTCTCCTAATGTCTTCCCATTGGGGAGAAAGCTTTCACCTCAGTTGACAGGGTCAAAGAATGTTCTCCCTTCCATTAGTATGCAGGCAAGTCTCCAAGCCGTCTAATCGCCTTTGAAGAGACAAAGAACACATTCACTTTCTCTCACATTCATATTCCCAGGAAACGAAAGGTAGCAAAATCCAGCACCATCTCTTTATTCAATTTCGGAACAGGACGCATCCTTTAATTGAATTCTTATCTAATGACTCAGAGCTTTAAGGCAACTTGAGAACTTGAATTTTGAAGTTTATTATCTATGTTAATTAAGACAAAATCATAATGAATTAGTTCTTGTCTTCCTCCTTCACATCACTCCTCACATCCAAATTACTTTATTGTTGGTTAAATGATAGTGAGCATTTTAAATTTTTATTATTTTTTTAAATTGAGGTATAATTGATATACAAGATTGTATTAGCTTCAAGTGTAAAGAATAATGATTTGCTATTTGTATATATTGCAAAATGATCACCACAATAAGTCTTGTCAACATCTGTCACCATACATAGTTACAGAATTTTTCTTGTGATGAGAACTTTTAAGATTTATTCTCTTAGCAACTTTCAAATATGCATTAGTGTTATTAACTACAGTCACCATGCTGTGAATTACACCCCTTTGATTTCTGTATTTTATATCTGGGAGTTTGTACTTTTTGACTCCATCTGTTTTTCCCACCTCACCCTCCACTGCCTGGCTTTGGCAACCACCATTCCATTCTCTGTATCTATGAGCTTGGTGTTTTGGTTTTTTTCTTTCTTTAATAATGCATGTAAGTGATATCATACAGTATTTGTCTTCCTCTTCCTGACTTGTTTCACTTAGCATAAGGCCCTCACCCTTGTTGTCACAAATGGCAAGACTTCCTTCTATTTTATGGCTAAATAATATTCATTGTATTTATATTCCACCTTTATCCATTCATCCATTGATGGACACTTATGTTGTTTTCATATCTTGACTATTGTAAATAACGTTGCAATGAACATGAGGGTGCATATATCTTTTTGAGTTAGTGTTTTAATTTTCTTTGAATAAATACTCAGAAGTAAAATTGCTGGACCATATGGTAGTATTATTTTTAATTTTTTGAGGAGCCTCCATATTGTTTTCCATAATGGCTGCACCAATTTACATTCCCACCAACAGTGCACAAGATATTTGTCAACATTTTTTATTTCTTGCCTTCTTGGTAACAGCCATTCTAACAGATGTGAGGATATATCTCACTGTGGTTTTGATTTGCATTTCCCTGATGGTTAGTGATGTTGAACATCTTTTTACATGCCTGTTGGCCATCCACATGTCTTCGTTGGAAAGATGTCTATGCACATCTTCTGCCCATTTCTAAACCAGACGTAGAAAACTTGAGACTTTATGTGATTAACATCAGCCCTGAACAACTGATTGTTTTTTTTTCCTGGACTCCCACAGCAATCTAAGCTATATAGCAGAACATTGTATTTCATGAAATATTCTTGTAACCTTTCTATTTTCAGTACATCTTTTCTCTGGGGTAAGCTGAAAATCCCTTGAGAGTAGCAGGTTTGTCTTTCATTACTTTGCATCTTCCACAATACCTATTATAGTAGACGCAAATGAAGTATTTGTTCATTGATTGATTTAATTCTAAAGAATTTTCAGAAGCTGTCACAGCAATCTTCTGAAGATCTTTTTAAAAAATTTTGTTTATTTACTCTCTCATTTTATTGATGAAGTAAAAATGACACTGTGATAAATGCATATGATTTCATTGGCCAGAGGGATCATCCAAGTCTTTCTTAACAATGGATGAAAGAGGTACCATCCACTGTCTCCTTTCAGTGGATGGCATTTTGATCCGAACAGAAACTACAGGACACTGACTGCTTCAGCGGTGACAGATGTGGTCTGAAGCAGATTATGTTGAGTGCTGTGCTCAAGATGAGCACCTCCCTCATGTGTCCCTTTCTGTGGGTGGTGAACAAATCAAATCCGCAGGTTCCCGTTGTTCATGATGGGACTACACACGTCTTCCTCCTCCCTAGTGCAGCAAGACAGCTGTTTAAATTTTCACAGCATCTTCAAGGTACCCATGGAACCTTGCCTTATAAAATGATTACATTCTCCAACTAGACTCCAGCCATACTGGGCTCCTGTCTCTTCCTCAACTACGTCAAGCCCTTTCCTGTCCTCATGCCTTCTACACTGGCTGGTCCCCACCTGAAATGCTCTTCTCTCAGTCCTGCAGAGGTTCATTTTCCTTCTTCATCTCTCAGCTCAAATACCGTCTTCTAGGCAGTCTCCCCTGACCACTCTTATTTAAAGATGTCCTACTATGTACAAAATGAACAAGGGTCTACTGCATAGCATAAGGAACCACATTCAGTATCTTGTAACAATCTACAATGGAAAAGAATCTAAAAGAGAATATATAGATGTATATGTATCATTGAATCACTTTGCTGTACATCTGAAACTAACACCACAGTGTAAATCAACTATACTTCAATAAAAAGATAAAATAAAGATGTCCTGCCCCATCCCCGCTAACACCTGGTACTGTACGTCACCTCTTTATTTCTTTCATAGTATGTATCTCAGTCAGAGTCCTTCTCTTGTGTGGTGCTTTACTGCCCAGAAAGCGTTTGCATCTTCACAACAGCTGTGTGAGACGGGCAGAGCACGTGGCCCATTGAGACCCACTGTATGGATGAGGAAGCGGTTCAGAAAAATGAATGACTTAACTAAGGTCACAAGGGTAGAAAATGAGTGAGGGCAGACAGGCGCAGGGAGGCTCTTGCTCCATCTAGGGGTGGTGTGCTGTCACGGCACTGGAAGTCTTATTGTCAGTGTCTTTCTGGACGGTGACAGTGAGCACAGACCACGAGAAAAGCAGGTCCTCAGCGGTGGGGAGGGAGTCACCTTCATCCTCCCCTCTTGTCACGATGGCAGAACTGGCAGACGGTTCAGAAAAGCAGACGTGTTTCCATGCTCTCAGCCATGTCTGTCTGGTTTTGTCTCCTCCCCGGACTGCCCTCTCTTCCTTTTGTCAGTTGGCTTGCATTTATTGTCACTTAATCTGGGCATTCTGCCACCAGCCTATCTTTTTGGATGTTCTTTTCTTATTAATTTAAGAGTACATAACATGATATCAAAAGATGTGCTTTGATATGGAAACAAAATTTGACTTTTAAAGAAGACACTCCCAAATTACAATTTTCCTAAATAAGATTTTCAAGACTTTTTCTGAGACAGAATTACCTAGTAGGGAGAGAGATCTAAGAGCATGTCCTAGCAGTAAAAAGTTTTTTTTTATCAAGCTCACCAGGAAGATGATGTATGTCTGCGACTGCATGGACATATATATTTTTGTTCTGGTCTGTAGATGGCAACACTGGGGGTGTTATTGAAAGGACCCTGAGTAGGATCGAAAGGAATGATCAGGCAACCTGCTGAGCCTGCCAGGAAAGGGATCTTTTGGCTTCTTTAATACCTGCCTGATTGCTTCTCGGCCTTTTGGCTAAGATCAAGTGTCACACCTGCCTGAAATTGGCGTGTGTGTGTGTGTGTGTGTGTGTGTGTGTGTGTGTTTGGGGGGTGGGGCCTGCCTCTCAGGCCATGTGACAGCTGTGCCCTGAAGTCGCATGAGCAGTGACTAGCCCAGCTCCTTCACTGGCTGGGGTCTTGAGTCAGTCACCTTTCCTTTCTCAGCCTCAGGGTCCTCCTCGAGGAAAAAGCATCACTGTCTTCCCTCTTTGTCATAGTTGTGGGGATCAAGCGGGAAACACGCCAGACAGAAAGCTGTCATCATTACAATTCACACAGGAAGAGGTTTTCTGCAAGTTATTAATGCAGAGGAAGACTCGCTCATCCTAGTTCTGCTAATGACTCCAGTGTGTCCCTTTGGTACTTCTCCAGCTCTGCCTTTTAATGGTCATTTCATTTCAGCTCAGGATGTGGAAGCTGCTTAAGAATCCCACTCTCATCTGGCTTCCCTGTGTCTAGACTGGCGAGACAGACTTGCATTAAATATAATTTTGGTGCTGGCAGCCAGCTGCTGTCGAGGACATCATGGAATGTGACATTACATTGCCTACAGATGTTAAATACTGCTTGTAGGTGACCCGGAAATTCTATCCATGTCTCTAGTCCGCATACCAAGTCTCTCCATCAATCAGAAGCAAGCATGTAGGGTAATCTGTTTTGCTGAAGGCCCCATAGGAATTTGTTGCTATTGCTGATGTAAGAAAAAGGCAAAAAAGAAAGGCTAATTTACTTCCAGGCTTTTGCAAAGTAGTAGATGTTTCCTGTGCAAAAGTAACATCAAAGCTGCATGTTATAATTGCATAGTATCGTATGGTTTTAAAAAACAGATGTTTCTTAATAACTATGCAAGAAATCATGAATATATTCTCATTTAAAAAATTCAAACATAGAAGTATGTGGAGGCAATGGTTTCCTCTGAGAAAATAAGGGGGACTTCAGGTGATGTGGGAGGTGTTGAAGGAGGCTCTTCATTTTCGACTGTATATTGAAATTTTAGGCTGAGTCCTTTCAGCCTTTCTTGTAAGCATTTGAATAATATGGGTACAGATAAAAATATATAAAGAAAATTTTCTTTACATAAATGGAACTACACTAAACATGTTCAGCAATTTTTTACTTACTATGACTTAAAGAGCTTTCCATGTCATTACAAAATATATTTGTTGCATTAAAAATATATAGGTAAATGGCATTCCCAGAATATGTCATAATGTAGTCAATCACTTCCCTACCTAGGAACGTTGATTCTGGATTTATTGATATAACAATGTTGCCATAAACATCCTTGTGGGGACATCTGTCTTCATGTGTACCATTATTTCATTATTTCTTTAGGACAGAAAACCAGAAGTGAAATTGCTGAGTCAGGCTTGGGGTAAATTAACTCGCAAAGACTTAGTTTCCTTTTCTGTAAGATTGGTTTACGATAACCTGCACCTCAAGGGTATTGTGAGGATTAAAAATTAAAATTAAATGTTCAAAGTATAAATGCAAGTTCATCCCCTCTCTCTTGAAGTCTTTTTTCAAAAATAATTTTCAAATCTTTTCCTCCTCACACATCTCAGGATCGTTTTTACCCCTCTCTGTTCTACATTAAGATGTCTGATGTGCAGAAGTCACATTGAAGCTCCTCTATTGAAGCTCCTCTCCCCTGCCCTCAGTTCCACTCTGTTCTTCTCGAGAAGGTGCAGAGCACTCAGAAGAATGCTGGAGTTCTGCCTTACACCACCTGCTCTTCTTCATCCTCTGCTTCCTCTTTCTTTTACTTGCTTTGTCCTCACTCTCCTTCCTTTCTTTTCATCCTTAACATGGAGGCAGCCGGCTGGGTAACTGCCTACAGGAAACATAAGATGAGGGGCAGAGCTGCTGGGGTGGAAACATGCAGGGACAAGCTGGGAGCTGGGGCTGGACCAGAGCTGAGTCTAGGAGCCAAGCGCAAGTGGCACAAAGAGGAGGGCTGACACAGATGCCAGAGCATTGAATGGTTTAGATGAATCCCTTTGCAGGGGCCATTACCTGCTTCTCAAGATGTCATAGGGCAGAGGGTACAGAGAGGGTACAGAGAGAGGGACTGGGTGAAACAGAGGGTGTGCTGAGGTCGGCCGTCCAGGAAGCAGCCTAGAGCTGGGCTTGGTTCTCACTGGGTTCCCTCCAGCCCTGGTGTGCACAGTTCTCAGGGGGCAAGCCTGGCCAAAGTCAAGTAGAGGAGAAGGATTAGTGTCCACTGCCTGTGTGTCGTGTTGTCCTGGGACATTCCACTCTGTTAACCTGTTGAAACTCCCCTGTTAACTGTGAGCATATAGACAGATTTCCCCCGTTTAACGCTTTCTCTCCTTCGAAATTCATCATTTCTTAGCAACTTACATATATGTTTTGAAGGGAAGGACTAAAGCAAGGCTGCAGCCTGTAGGCTCAGGCCACCTCCAATTAACTGAGAACACCCCCTAGATGTTATACCAGAGGTGCGGATTTGAAATAGCTCAGAAAGCTGACCTCTGTTTCCAGAGCTTGGCGCGGACCTCGAGGCGGTGTATGACAGCCAACAGGATAAAACAGTTCCAGATCCTTTCCCTGTGGCTCTTGGTGCTCTACAAAATGATGCCCACTAATCTCAGAGAAAGTGATGAGGCAGGGACCTCTCGGGACGTTAACTAGAGACGATTTAAGCTGCTGCCGAGGAGTTGAGATGTCAGCGCCCCTCAGCTGCGTGTCTTCAGATGACTGCACAATTTCCTCTCCATTCATCTGCTCTGTTCCCCGAGGAGGCCCGAGTCATCTGCGTAGGCTGCAAGTCCAGAAAGACTTCATGGGATCAGTTTGCCTTGTCCTGACTTAACAAGCACTTGGTCTGAGTTTAAAAACACTCTTTGATATCAACAGAGAGGGAGAGACATGGCACATCACAGCTTAGCTCTGCAATCTCTCAGTTCTTCCCTCAGAAACCTTGCAAGTGAATTCGTGCTGTTCCTTACGCTCCCCCAAGGAACACGATGAGCTGTTCTTTGGGGCCAGATTTTCAACCTACGATTCTCTGAGAATAGTTCCCATATTGTGGAAGAGATGAGTATCTGGTCCAATGAGTCAAGAGGGATAAAAGCACAATCTATTTGAAAAAAAGACATGGTTTGGTGGCTAAAGAATGCAAATCCAGCTTTCATCCTGTATATGACATTTAACTCAGTGCCTCAGGCATGCCATTTTATCTCATGTTACAGAAGCCTTAGGAAACGTTACAGCTGCCTAGGTGCTGGGTTGATCCCAAGATTTATGCCTTCAATATGCTTTAGCCTTTAATTCAAAGTACGGAATAACATAGCCACAAAATGCTGATCTAAGTCTTTGGCTTCTCAGTTGAATTTAGGAAACCTGGGACTTTCTACATTTTGTTTCTGTGTTATCCTTAAAAACCACATGCTACTCCTTTGCATCTCATTCCAATCACACAAAGAACTCTCACAACATTGGCCTTGACTCTTCTGTGTCTTTCATCCCAGGAAAACAAAGCTTTGTATCTCTTCTGTTCCTGTCTCCTCCTTCTTATTTTATTTCAATATCTGTTTTCCCACCAGTCTTTACATCCGGAAAATTCTCCCACTTTCTTCCCAATAATAACTCTTCTTATCTCTAGTCTTCTTATCTTATTCCACTTTTCAAATTTCCTTCACACATTTAAAATCATTTTTTAAAATTTCATTTATAGACTTGGACTTTTTTTTCCCACCAATCATGAAAAAAAAAAAATCTCCCTTAGCTTTTAGTACCTAGCACAGTGCCCACCATATGCTACATGGTTCACAAGTACTTTCTCAATAGATGAATGAATACCTGTCCCTTCACAAAAAGCCCTTGATTATATGTGAAATGTGAATGATGGCCACTTGGGATAACAATGGTATCTCATCAAAGTTGCACTGGACCCTACTTTCCAAGAAGCACACTGTTGCCTCTGCCTGGAATGCCGTCACCTCCACCCAGGGGCTCCCCCAGTTCCTTACCCTGACCACTTCCTAGGGTCTTTTAGGACTTGGTGTAGGGGGACTTGGTTTAAGATGACTCTCCTTCGTGCTTCCAGAGCATAATCTGCATATCTCTATTTAGCTCTTATTTCGTGAGACTGGCATTTCCTCCTGTCTCTTTCCCCTCATCCCTGTAGACGGAGTTATCCTCACTGGCTCCCTGGTGCCTTGCCGGGGTCCTGAAACACTGAAAGCAAATATTGCCTGTTTGTGGAATGAATCAATGACACCCATTTGGACTTTTGAGAAATGTGAGTGAGTAAGAAGGGAGGTTGGAAGGCTTTTAGAAGAGAGACAGCGACTAAGACATGCGTTTTTTTTTTCCATTGAAGTATAGTTGATTTACAATGTTGTGTTACTTTCAGGTGTACATCAAAGTGATTCAGTTATATATACATATATACATGCACACACATATATTCTTTTTCAGATTCTTTTCCATTATAGATTATTACAAGATACTGAATATAGTTTCCTGTGCTATACAGTAGGACTTGTTGTTTATCTATTTCATATATAGCAGTGTGTATCTGTTAATCCCAAACTCCTAATTTATCCCCATGGCCTTTCCCCTTTGGTAACATAGGTTTGTTTCCTATGTCTGTGTGACTATTTGTGGTTTGTAAGTAAGTTCATTTGTATCATTTTTTAAAAAAGATTCTACATATAAGTGATATCATATGATATTTGTCTTTCTCTGACTTACTTCACTTAATATGATAATCTCTAGGTCTGTCCATGTTGCTGCAAATGGCATTATGTCATTCTTTTTTTATGGCTGAGTAATAAATCAATATGACACAGCACATTAACAAATTGAAGAATAAAAACCATATGATCATCTCAATAGATGCAGAAAAAGATCTTGATAAAATTCAACATCCATTTATGATGAAAACTCTCCACAAAGTGGGCAAAGAGGGAACATACCTCAACATAATAAAGGCCATATATGACAAACCCACAGCTAACGTCATACTTAATGGTGAAAAGCTGAAAGCATTTCCTCTAAGATCAGGAATAAGACAAGGCACTTTCATTCATCATAGTTTTGGAAGTCCTAGCCATAACAATCAGAGAAGAAAAAGAAATAAAAGGAATCCAAACTGAAAAAGAAGAAGTAAAACTGACACTGTTTGCAGATGACATGATACTGTACATAGAAAATCCTAAAAATGCTACAGAAAACTACTAGAGCTCACTGATGAATTCAGTAAAGTTGCAGGATACAAAATTAATATATAGAAATCTGTTGCATTTCTATATACTAACAGTAAAATATTAGAAAAAGAAGTTAAGGAAACAATCTCACTTACTATAGCATTAAGAATAAAATACCTAGGAATAAACTTACTTAAGGAGGCAAAAGACCTATACTCTGAATACTATAAGATGATGATGAAAGAAATGGAAGACAACACAGATGGAAAGATATACCATGCTCTTGGATCGGAAGAATCAATGTTGTTAAAATGGCCATATTACCCAAGGCAGTCTACAGATTCAATGCAATCCCTATCAAATTATCAATGGCATTTTTCACAGAACTAGAACAAAAAAAATTTTTAACTTGTATGGGAACCCAAAGGACTCTGAATAGCCAAAACAATCTTGAGAAAGAAGAATGGAGCTGGAGGAAACATGCTCCCTGACTTCAGACTATACTACAAAGCTACAGTAATCAAAACAGTATGGTAGTGGCACAAAAACATACACAAAAGTCAATGCAACAGGATAGAAAGTCCAGAAATAAACTCATGCACTTATGGTCAATTAATCTACAACAAAGGAGGCAAGAATATACAAAGGAGAAAAGACAATCTTCTCAATAAGTAGCGTTGGGAAAACTGGACAGCTACATCTAAAAGAATGAAATTAGAACATTCACTATCACCATATACAAAAATAAACTCAAAATGAATTAAAGGCCTAAATGTAAGACTAGATACTCTAAACTCCTAGAGGAAAACATAGGCAGAACACTTTTTGACATAAATCACATCAATATTTTTTTTGATTCACCCCCTAGAGCAATGGAAATAAAAGCAAAAATAAACAAATGGGACCTAATTAAACTTAAAAGCTTTTGTACAGCAAAGGAAACAAACAAAACAAAAAGACAACCTGTGGAATGGGAGAAAATATTTGCAAATGATGTGACCGACAAGGGATTAATTTCCAAGCTATACAAACAGGTCATACAGCTTAATATATATGTATATATTTTTAAACCCAATCAAAAGATGCAGCAGAAGACCTAAATAGACATTTCTCCAAAGAAGACATACAGATGGCCAACAGTTGCATGAAAATATACTCAATATCACTAATTATCAGAGAAATGCAAATCAATACTACAATGAGATACCACCTCACACCAGTCAGAATGGACATCATTAAAAAGTCTACAAA